GATCCACCTGCCTCTGCCTTCCAAGTGCTGGGATTAAAGGCATGCCCCACCACCAATGGGCTTTCAATCTTATTTTTTAAACCCATTTATTTATAAATATGGTGGGGTCATGCCATGATGTACATACGGGGGTCAGAGGACAATCTGCAAGAGTCATTCTCTCCTTCTACCGTGTAAGTCCCAGAGACTGAAGTCAGATCATCCAGCTTGGCCACAAGCATCTTCACCCTCTGAGCCATCTCGATGGTGCCACAATCTTCTTAGTTGGCATGAAGGAAGTCTGAGCTACTGCCCACAGGTGACAGAAAGCAGAAAGTATCACTAAAGTATAGGCAAAATCAAGATTCAAACCCTTTGCTGGGCATGACGCTACAAACTAGAAATCCCAGCAGCTCGGAGGGCGGGGCAGAAGGATGAGCGGCAGGCTAGCTTAGGGTACACAGTGAGAGCCTGTCTCAAGAAAAAAAAAAAAGCAAAATCCAGCCAGGTGGCACATGCCTGTACTCCTCCGTAGAATGTGCTTCCTTTTCAGGTGTCCTGGGGTCCTGGGTCTGGAGAAGGATGCTGGCTCTATGGACCACAGCTCTAGCTCGGTGCTCGTGACAGGGTCTCCCTCTGTATTCCGGGCTGGCCCTGAACTTGTGAGCCCCCTGGGTCAGCACCCCTAAGTGCTCTGCCATTTGTTGAGTCCCTTCCCGTCCTCTTCGTGGTTACCGGGACAGTCCTGTTGCTACGTTTAGCTTAGAAATGGCACAGCAACTCTGTAGCGGCAAAGACAGACTTGCAGCGCTGCAGCCTAGAGCTAAGAGCTGCACGCAGGTAGGGTGGCTTTCTGACCAGAAGTCCACGCAAGACCAGGCTAGGTGGATGGACACTGGAGTTACTGAAGCAGAGGCCAATGGCCAGCAGTTGGGAGATTGCGAAGGAATTCCTGTGATGGGTGGGACCCTCATCCTGTCCAACTCCCGGCTCCTATGATTCATCCCGCTGGCTACTCCTATGGGCTCCCCACCCGTTATTAGCACGTTTCTGAAGCAGACCACTTCTGTTTCCCAGGAACAGACCAAGGCACAGGACATTCTAGGAGCAGCTACCCTTCTCCTGGAGGGAGTGATGGCAGCGCGTGGACAGCTGGAACCCTCCTGCCTCTCTTCCCTCCTGGGACAGCTTTCGGGGCAGGTTCGCCTCCTCTTGGGGGCCCTGCAGGGCCTCCTAGGGACCCAGGTAAGTCCATGGACAAGAGACCTCTCTCTAAAAACCACCGTTACTCAGTCCCTCTAAAGACTTGGGGGAGACAAGGGATTCTGGGTACCTTCAGTGTAAAAAGGCTGGCCTATAAGGAGTGCTGCCTCCCAAACATAACACCTGGCTGCTGGCAATGACCTTTTCCTCCTTAGTCAGGAGAGGCCTAGTACGTGGGCCTGCTCTCTGGCCTCAGGCCCATCCTCTGCCCTCAGCTTCCCCCACAGGGCAGGACCACAGCTCACAAGGATCCCAAGGCCATCTTCCTGAGCTTGCACCAACTGCTGAGAGGAAAGGTGCGCTTCCTGCTGCTAGTAGAAGGTCCCACCCTCTGCGTCAGGCAGGCCCCGCCAGGCTCTGCTGTCCCAAGCAGGACCTCCCAACTCCTCACACCAAACAAGCTCCCGAACAGGACTTCTGGATGGCTGGAGACGAACTTCAGTGTTGGAGCCGGAACTCCTGGCCCTGGGCTTCTGAACAGGGTTCACGGACTTGTGACCAAGGTTATCCCTGGTCAGCTGAATCAAACCTCCAGGTTCCCAGACCAAATCCCTGGACACCTGAACAAGACACACGAACCTGGGAATGGAACTCACGGGCTCTTCGATGCAGCCTCTCTTCAGACCCTGGACGCCTCAGTTCTGCCAGGAGCTTTGAACAAAGGCTCCCTGCCACCCAACCTCCAAAGTGGACATCCCCCTTCTCCTACCCGTGCTCCTGATGGACACATACTCTTCTCTCCTTCACCCACCTTGCCCACCCACAAGTCTCCACCCCAGTTTCACCCCCCCGCTTCCTGATCTCTCCACCACTGTGCCTACCTCTGCCAGCCCGCGTCCAGTTGCAGTGTACCCCCACTCCCAGAATTTGCCTCAGGAAGCGTAGGGTACACAGGCACAGCCAGCATCTGCAGTGTCTCTCAGACATAAGCCTTCCCCAGAAGAGGCAACTGCAGCTACACTAGACGGTCCTGCTTTCCCTGAATCCCAAAGCCCTGGGAAAGAGCTTCACGGGACAGGCGATCATAAAATTTCAGGAACTATTTTTTTAACCTATCAACAATATTCATCAGAGCAGCTAGTTATCTTTGGTCTATTTTCTGTATAAATTTGAAAATCACTAATTCTCTCTATGTGTTTTCTACAAAGGCCCAGACCGGCCAAGTCTTCAAACCCAGGTAGAGATTAACATTGTATCAGAAAACAAAAAGGTCATTTCCTTTGCTCCAAATTTAAGGTCCCCCCCCAGTGCCCTCATTCCGTTCTGTCTCAGTGAGACTGGTCCTCTTGATAAAGGAATAACAAGTTACCTCTTAGACAGGCGCCCCTATTTAGAGACAAAACTGAGCCTGTAGGAGAATGAGAGCATCCAAGAGCCAACTAAAAATCAAGGGAGCAATATTCTCGGGGCAACAGATCTCCTGGACCCTGCCTCCAAAGAAAGCTAACAGGAAGCCTGGGGAACCCCATTCCCCAGGTAAGGCTGTGCAAATGGTTCAGTAAAGACTAGACCTGGATATGGCAGCTGAGCAAACAGCTAAGTGCATCAGCAGCTCAGCAGGAGCTTAGCCAGGCCTGGGCTCCTGCTTCCCTCCTGTGGAGGTCAGGCGGAAGTGCAGGAAGTGGCAAGAGTAAGGCTCCATAGCTCACACAGCAGGACAAGCAGAGCAGCTAAGGCTCCTTCTACTTCCCACAGATACATCTAAAAAGCAGCCTTGTGTGACCACCATGAACTCCACTGGGAACCCCCCAAATGAAGGCAAACTTCTGGGGTTTTGCAAGTTAAGTGCTTTGTTGGTGCTAGAAGTTTACAATACACAAAACCGAAACTGTGTTGCCGGGGTCAACCTGCTTCCCCAGAGCCTGTGAGAAGGCTGGTGGGAGCGTCTTCCTCACTCCTGTCCCAGAGTAAAGGAGGAGGCTGCCATGTAGGCGGAGAAGCCAGGATCTCAGAATTCCAAACACTGCCACAGCAAAAGCAAGAGAACGGTGTTCTTCACAGAGGCAATAGGTGCCCCAGAATCACCACACACACACACACACACAACTCTGTATGGTAGATATTATCCATCTGTTCCACACATGAAGACACCAAGACCAGAAGGGCTTCCTGATGGTCACATAGTCTTCAGGCAGAAAAAGGATACCCAGCCTGAGTCGCAGCCCGTTCACCTACCCAGTATGGGGGCATCTGATGCCCTCCAGTGAGTCTATGTAATACAGAGATGTCCACATCCTTGGAGAGTAGGTACACTCTTGTGGTTTGTTTGTTTTTTTCAAAATAGGGTTTCATTGTGTAGCTATGGCTATCCTGGAACTCACTTTGTAGACCAGGCTGGCCTCAAATTCAGAGATCCGTCTGCCTCTGCCTAATGAGTGCTGGGATTAAAGGCGGGTGCCACCACCGCCCAGCTGTAAATACATTCTTAAGAAGCTCTGAGAAGACCGGAGCGTGTGGTGGGGACGATAATTCAGTCATCTCCAGGTGTCCCTGTGGGCAGAACCTGGGGCAGAAGTCAACAAATGCACAAAGCTAAAGAATGTTATCAAAATCTGAAAGTGTCAGTTTCTAGGCAAGAGTAGTTTACAACACTACTAATTCTAGGATAAGTATAATTTGTAATTTGTTGTAACACTAAAGGAGGTTAAACTTAACACTTTTAAAAATAAATTTAGGAGGACAGGCTCCAAAGCTGCAGAGAAACCCTGCCTCAAAAAAAAAAAAAAAAACCCAAAATGAATAAACTTAGGGTGGGTGGGATGGCTCAGTAAGTAAAAGGGCTTACCGTGCAAGCCTGACATGAGTCTGACTCCTGGAACCCATGGAAAAGGAAAGAACCAACTCCCAAGGTTGTCTTCCAGCCTCATCATGCACGCCATCACATGCTGATCCCCACACTTGCACATACATATCACACACAAATAACAAAAGTTAAAAGGCAAAAAAAAGTTGGACATGGTGGCACATGCCTGTAAACTCAATACTTAGGATGTAGATACAGGAAGATCAGTTTAAGGCCACCTTCAGCTATACAAGGACTTTGAGTCTAACATAGACTGTAAAAGACTCTTGTCTCAAAAATTAATTTTCATGGCAGGAACATAGCTAAGTAGTAGGGCTCTTGCCAGCACACACAAAGTCCTGGGTTCAATCCTCAACACAATAAAACACAGCACAGAAGAGCTAGCACCCAAACAAGATATACCAGAGACCAAAAATGAGGGCTTTCAGCAGTCAGAAGACAAGTGAGGATGTTGAACCAACACAGCTGACGTTCCAGGCATCTAAGAAACTGGTTTCCACAATGTAAACCAACCTGAAATCTGCCTTCTTAAGACAAACCCTGAAACAAGGTGTGTCGGTGCATGCCTGTAGCGCATGTGGGGTTGAGGCAGGAGGGTCACAAGTCCAAGGTCTCCCTTGATTATACATAGGTCTCAGACCAGCTGGGATTTCAGATTACACCTCTAAAAAATTGTTTTAACCCTGCCTGAAGATCCATCCAGCTCAGCGATGTGACACTTGCCTAGTAAGCCTTGGGTTTGATCCTTGTACCATCAGAACAAAAGCAGAGTCTAAACCAAATCATTCTGTGCAGTTGATCCCACCATTTCTTCCCCACCAACACACACACAAATAAGTATGCTGGCAAGACGGCTGAGCAGCTGAAGGTGGCCATCAAGTCTGACCACGAGCACAATGGCAGGGAAAAGGACTCCTCAAAGCTATCTTCTAACTCACACACATACAAGTAAAACAAATGTTTGAAAAATGTTTTTAAAGGCTTATAAGCAAAGCACATTTCTACTTAAGTCTCCCTTTTCCTTGCAGGGACAGTCTGTCTACTTTGACATTCTATCACGACTTCTGATGAGGGCCTCCCACTGTAATCTAATCCATCTTTTTTCAACACCTCAAAAACCCGACTCCATGGGATGATTGAAAGATTCTATTAAGATTCATCCCAACCCCCAATGTATCACACACACCCTACTGTGGAAAGTTTAAAAAACAAACAAACAAACAAAAAAACCCTCTTTGCTCTTCCCTGCTGAGGCCACTCATTTTCAACCCATTTCTCTAAACACTGTTTCTAACACCTCTTGTAAAGACTAAAAATAAAGATGGGGAAGGAAACACCCCAGGCATCCCAGCAGGGCAACCAGCTCCTGTGACAAACCCAGATCAAGAGACAACTGGGGGGCTGGCAAAAAAAAAAAAAAAGAAGAAAAGAAAGGTTCAATTCAATCCCCAGATGGTAGAAGTACACACACACACACACACACACACACACACAGAGAGAGAGAGAGAGAAACAGAGGATTCATTTAGATTGCTTTGTAGCACACAGAAAGAAGGCCTACGGATTTGAGACCCAGCATTGCATAAACCAGGTGTGATATAATCCCAGAAACTCAGAAGGCAGTGGCAGGAGGATCAAGTTCAAGGCCAGTCTGGGCTACACAGCAAAAGCAAAACCCTGGATGCCTCTACTCCCAATTCAGAAAAGAGTCTGAAAAAGTAAACTTTAATAAAAAACACACACACACAGACACAACTTGAGATTCATGCTAAGCTCTCCCACTTGGCTTTTCACAGACAAGTGAGTTTTCCACCGAATTCAGACAGACTGAAGACGCACCCACAGTGGACACAGAGTCAGTCCTTTTGAAGGCGAACACCGCCAGCTTCTACTCAGGGTTGAACAACGTCCACGACTTGAGTGACAAAGCAGCACGGCTGGTTTCCCACGAGGTTCAGAATGCCAGCTTCTTCATCAGCAGATACACTCTGGAATCCACCTCAAATCCATGTAGGTTGTTGGCATCACCCTGAAGTCTCATGAGCAGGCCCCCATAGGACACATATGCAGAGCTGAAACAGAAGGCCCTGATCCTGAGTCTGAGCTCAGAACCAGCTCTCCAGCCGCTCTCCATCCCTCTGTTTTAAGGCACTCCCCTAGTATTCCGTCATCAGGAACCAAAGAGCAGGAGAGAATCGAATGCAGCCGGACACAAGCAGTTTACTGTGCTGTCTACTCCAGTGGAGTAAACGCTGCTGTGCGCAGAACGGGAGTAGCCACACCACTGACTGCAATGTCATTCACACAAAGGAAGGTGTCACCACTCACTGCAATGCCATACAGCTACTGGACTGTGGAGGCAGGGGCTGGAGAGATGGCTCAGCCTTTAAGATGACTTACTGTTCTGGAAGAATGCAGAAGACCTGGATTCACTCTCCAGCACCCACAGGGCATCTTACAACCACCTCTAACTTCATTTCCAAGGTGCCCAGTGTCCCCTTCTGACCTTGGGGGTCTCATGCCTGCACATGGTACGCATACAGATACGCACACATGCACACACAAATAAACACATACTTTTTTGAAAACGCTAAGGAATCAGGTGGGTGGCACATTATCTTTAATCCCAGCAGCAGGAGACAGTCAAGTAGGTCCCCTGATTCAACACCAGTTCGGGTCTACATATTGAGTTCCAGGACAACCCAGGCTACATAGAGAGAACCTGCCTCAAAACAAACAAACAAACAAATAAAAATTTTAAAAAATTAAAAATTGAGGGAGAGTTTTCGACCAACAAGGGGAACTATGCTAAACAAAAGGAAACACTGTAAAAGATCTTAAAGGGAACAGTAAACAAAGAAGAGTAAAAGCTAGACTACTCAAACTCTTTTGTTTGTTTTTGTTTTCTCAAAACAGGGTCTCATGTAGCCCTGGCTGTTCTGGTCTGAAGACCAGCCTAATCTTGACCTCACAGATCCACCTGCCTCTGCCTCCCCGGTGCTGGGATTAAAGGGTGCCACCACACCAGCCAGTTTTAAAAGGTTCTCCTGAGCAACTCTGGTTCTTTTTCACTTTCACCTCCCTGCTTCAAGTTTCTGACAACCATATTGTTTCAGCAGACATTTAAAGAAAAGGAAAAAACAAATTAGGCAGGGAAACCAAGAACCAAGGGTTGAGTTACAGAGTAACAACACATACACAAGTAAAAATAAAACCAAAAGGTCCAGTCATGAAATGCTGCCTAGTCATGAAAAGCCAGGAAGATATCCTCTGTTGTCCCTCACAAACCAAGATCACCAAACTCTCCTGTGGACTACAGGGCCCTGAAATCTTGATAACGGGTGGTTAAGTAACCAGCATTCAGTCTGGAAATTATTCCCAAGACGAATTCTTCCACCTAGGTTTGGGGTACTAGAAAAACATGGACCCAGTGCAGATGTGGAAGCATGGCAGTTTCAGAACAGGGAGGGGAAGGACTTTTCCAGACAAGGTTACTTACAGACGTGTTGCTGCTTCGGTTGAGGTCTCGTCCCCCTCAATCCTGTACACTTTCCCATACATTACATATTCAAACTGGTCAGCCCTACAAACAAGAGGCCAAGTTATTCTTCGTCGCAATCAGTAGCGTGAGAGACCTTAAAAAAAATGGAAACTGAGCCAGGCAGTGGTGGCGCAGGCCTTTAATCTGAGCACTCAGGAGGTACAGGCAGGTGGAGCTCTTGAGTTCGAGGTTGGCCTGGTCTACAGAGCGAGTTCCAGGACAGTTAGGGCTACACAGAGAAACCGTGTCTCAAAAAAAACCAAAAAGATAAAAACAAAAAAAAAATAATTAAAATGGAAACTGATATCGAGAAATGTCATAGAAGCACAACCGTATTTGGCTCTCACATCAGTTCATTGAACGAGACAGGACCGTCTGTATTTAAACAAAGGCTGAACGCAGTGGAGCTGAGAAATGAAAATTCAGTCTGTAGCCATTGCTGTCCTAAATGGCTCTGTAGACCAGGCTGGCCTCGAACTCAGAGCTACTCCTGCCTCTGCCTCCTAAGTGCTGGGATTGAGTGTGTGCATCACCAGGCGACTACAGCAGTCTATCACACCAAGCTCCCTCCCAAAACCTAGGATACAATGTAACTATTTTCTTGGCCTCAAAAAAGCTATAACTTAAGTCGGGCCTGGAAGCACACTCTTTAATCCCAGACAGGCTCCAAAGCCCTGTCTCCAAAAAAAAAAAAAAAAAAGAAACAAAAACCAACCAAACAAACAAAAACTACACCTGCGGGGTATGGGGGCACATACCTTTAATTTCAACACTGAGGAGGCAATGGAAGCAGACGTTGTCTGTGAGTTCAAGGCCAGCTTGGTCTACATAGTGTAGGCCAACCAGGACTACAAAGTAAGACTCTGTCTCAAATAAATAAATAACTGCAGCTCTCAGCTTACTCACACTGCTCTCGGTAAGTAATAAAGCTGATTGTTTCAACTTTTTTAGAGACAGGGTCTCTTGGAGCCCAGGTTAGCCTTAGACTTGATGTGAAGCCAGACATTCTTCTTCTGTAGCTTTAGAGCCTGTCCTGGAACTAGCTCTTGCAGACCAGACTGGTCTCGAACTCACAGAGATCGATTAAAGGCGTGCGCCACCACTGCCCGGCTGCCAAAGACATCCTCCTGCCTCATCTCCCTGAGCCCTGGAACTACAGGCTCAAACCACCACACCCAGTTCTGGTTATCTGAATTCTAAGTGCAACAATGTCTTTTCCTAGAATTAAATAAAGCCCTTTATAATATATAAAGTATAGTACTTATCTAATGAGTCCCCCCTTTACCACCGCCTCACCTGGAAGGCCTGTCATCTGTGGGGTTGTATTCGCCATCATCCAAGGTACCATCCTCATACAAAGTACTAGCTATGACCAGCCGGAACTTGTCACCTGAAAAGGGCATCAATATCAGAGTGAAGATGCGGAACCCAAAGACCGCAAACCTCTTACAGGTGCCTGTGTTCGATACTTACCCAAGTCCACGGGGTAAATCTGAATGTTGACATCTAAGATGAGGTCCATCTTGAAAGACTCACTCTCACAGTGCAGCCGAGATACTGGGGAAGAAGGACAGACGTGATTACAGACGCCAGTTTGCAGGTCGAATGCGAGAGAATAAACCATCCAACAGGCCCACACCCACAAGCCTTGCTCTTCGTCCCAGAAGCACAAGCGCAATCCGAATCAGATTCATGAGATGGAAGAAAGTCAAAAGCTCAGCAGTTGACAGGATCCCAAGAAAAAAGCAAAACTTCTCCGGCAGCAACCAGTCTCTAGGCTATAAGCCTGCCTGGATGATTTAGACTAAATAAACTTAACTCTGAACAAGATAGTCACTTATACAGAGATTCCTTCTTCCTGGTAGGCACTCTGCTGAGGGAATAGGCAGGATGTATTAAGAACTGCCTCCTGTCTTTAAAAAATAAAATTATAAATAAAATAATAAATAAATAAAGTAATAATGATGGTGATGCCAGGCGTGGTGGCGCACGCCTTTAAACACAGCACTTAGGAGGCAGAGGCAGGTGATCTCTGTGAGTTCAAGGCCAGCCTGGTCAGTAAATCCTACACAGAGAGACTGTGTCACGAAAAACAAAAAATTGTCTCCAGGCAAAGTGACACCAAGAAGAAACTACTTCCGGATCACTAGGAAAATAAATACACCAAGCAGGCAGCTGAATGAAACTCAAAAGAGGACTTGGCAAAGAGCTGACAATTCTTGAGGCAATATAAAACTATAGATTAGGAGGGCAGGCAGGTAACTCGCTGCATGGCCTTAAGTAACAAAACAGGTAAGGCACCATCCACCTCTTACTAGAATAAAGTGCCGTGTGAGAGAGAGGCGCACGGTACTGCACTTAACGCTGAACAGGAATTAGAAAGGTGCCCAGGGGTTTACCAGCACCAAAGCTAAGAGCCACCCAGACTCCAGACACAGAAAATACAATAGGAAAAGCTGTCTCAAGTTTCTCATTATGAAAACAAACAAACAACTGTTTCCTGAGGGAGGTACCGAGAAGGGGACGGGCCACTTGGGTGGGCATGTTGGCCTCTTCCTGCATACCTCCCCTACACACCTTACCTCGGTCAAACTTCTTGCCTTCTGGATCAATGTCTTTCACATCAAAAATATCCTCGAACAGGATGCCCGCCATCGTAAGGGGCACGAGAGCTGCAGAGGTGCGGAGCGCGCGGCCACCACTGGGAATTCGCGCACCCCCTCACGTGGAGAAAAGAAGACAGGGCAGAGTACCGCCCCAAAAGCGGCAACCGGGCAGGGGGCGCATGCGCACAGGCTGCAGGACCACGGCCACTTCCGCTGCCTCCCCCCTCGGGGCTCCTGAACTTCCGCCGGGAAAGGCCACCTCGGAGCTGCTCGGGCCTGGTGGGCGAGTCTCAAAGCCCGGTGACTCCGCCCAAGGCGGGGACAAACTAGGTCCCACCCCCGGCGGGTACCGCGCTGCGACCGGCTCTACGGCGCCCTCTTCAGATCCCGGATCCCGAAGCTTGCAAAGCCTGGGGGCCTAACCCAGCCAGGAACCTTGATCCTTGACCCAGCCCGGGACGAGCCCTGCCCTGCGGTCCGCAAGCCGGCGGAGGGCACAGTCCGTGCAGCAGGCGGGTGGAGCAGAGCCCCGCCCGCGGAGCGCCCGCCCAGCGGGACGTAGTGCCCAGCCCCTCGGACTGCCACCAAAGTCCCCCACGCTGGTCCGAGCTGGCTCTGACCAGCTAGACGTCACCCGAGTCGGGTCCGTCCGGTTTGGGAATTTGCCATGATGTCACTCTCAGGGAAAGGAAAGCCCGCTTTGTGCCCTCCCCTGGGGCTTCACCTCAACACTCGCGTCTTCCCTTGGCCCTGCTTGGCACTAACCTCACACTCTGATCCCCTCGGACGCTGCCAATTGAACTTGGTACTGCCTGTCACCCCACTATACTACCCTCTTCTGGACACTGATCTAGCGCGCCTTCACCCGGCACTGGCCTTTCACTGGGAGGCGGCGACAGCTCTCGGTGCCCTCTTTCCAGGTGCTACCTCCTTGCATTGCGGTCCCCGTCGTGGGCATCGTACCCTCCCCTGGAGCACCTCTTTGTTTCCTGAATGAGTCTTCATCCTGGTACTGCTCTTTCTACACAGACTTCTGGACACCGTCCTCTCCAGTGGCACCAACCTAACACTGCCCATCCTCTTTGTGCCCACGCCACACTGTTTTTATCCCTCCAAGGACCGTCAAAGACAATGCGGAGCCCTAGGAAGCCGCTTCCTCTAGGCGTCCGCAGCTACTCAAGTTCCCCCTTTAAGCGATGCCTGGGAGGAGCGACCTCTGCTCCCCCACACCCGCCTCCCAGGAACAGCCTCCCCCGTGCCAATAGCTCCCTTCCCTCGGGCCTCACCCCTTCCCGTCCCCTCCCACCTCCACCTCCGCCCCTCTCTCCAGGCCTAGCAGTTCCAGGTGCACCTTCCCGGGGGAAGCCAGAGGGAAAGGAGAAAGGAGAAAGGGGGGCGATAAGGGAGCAGGCTCTCAGGGATCCTCCCAGATCCGTCTGAGCCGCCTGCAAGCGCGAAGCAGCCCTAGTGGGGTCTGGCCCGGAGAGCCCGAATTAGCCTTTTCTGCAGCCCCCTGCCTCAGCCCTAGAATCACTACATCCCCAGCCCCTCCCACACAGCGCTGCAGTCGCCAGAGAGCCCGGCCCCTCCACGTGCCAACGGGCCCGCCCCCTACGGCCCGGCACCCTCTCGGGACCAGGTCAGCCCCCGGCCTACCGACGGAGGGGCGCGAGATCGCGTTGCAAGCGCCCCCTGCCGCTTCTCCGGAGACCAGGAGGCGGCTCCGATGCAGACCCCAGTCGGACCCGGACGCCCCTTGCAGAAGGGCCAGGGCGGAGCAGCGAGCAGGGCACCGCCCTCGGCCCGCCCGCCTAGGAGGAGACGCTAGCGGGAGGCTGAGCCTGCGGCGCGCGCCCGGGGACCCGTCGCACTCTGCACTCGGCCGCCGGGGCTGAGGGGACGGGACGGGTGCGGGCTCAGCGGGCCGGGAGCTGAGTCAAGGCCAGAGCCGGAGAAGCCAAGAGAGGCAGGAGGACAGTGCGCCGAGATGGCGGCCTCGGGGGCCGCGGCAGGAGCGGCGGCGGCGACGGGGGAAGGGATGGAGCCTCGGGCGCTGCAGTATGAGCAGACCCTGGTAAGTGAAACCTAAGGGGTGCGCTATGGCACCACTGCTGCAGGTTGCCCTAGGAAGTGTGAGGACAGGCGGCCTACCCTAGCCCGGCCTCAGCCTTCCTCAGCTGTGGAAACTGAGGTTCGGGATCCGACAGGCTGAAGGTTCACGCTCAGGGTGTGTTGGAAAGCCGCTTGCATGTTTCTGACTGAGGCTGGTGGCCTGCAGAGGACAATGACATCAGGTGCTTGGCCCAAGTGCCCTTCCCCTAACTCCCTTACATGTTTTTGTTTTTTCCACTTAACCACTCGAGCCCAAGTTACAACACCTCAGGCCCCTTTCTGGGTGCCATCCGTACCTCCGAACTTTCTCCACATGCCTGTCCACATTGACCACCTTCCCAGTGTCCCTACTATGGCATGGCACTAAGCTGGGCATGAAGACTGTAGGCAGATGATCAAATCCAAGCCTACCCCCTTGCCCTTAACAACTCAAAGTCCAGCATTGACGAGAACCCTTCAGTCGAACTTTTGGGAAAGGTGGCTTAGGTGTCAGTCACCCTGGGGATTGGAGCTTTGGGGTTGATGCAGGAAGCAGGAATGGGTGTGAGAACTGGAACCTTTGTTCAGACTGAATCTAGGCAGGTACCCCACCACCAACATCCACGCCCATGGATTGTCCCTTGACCTCGTTAGAAGCAGGGGTCCCAAGCTTTGAGATGACTCTTGGCCACCACTGTTGAGAAGCCATTCAGCCTCATGTCACTGGGGTGGGGGGCCCAAGCCCTACAGAAGGAAACTGGCCCGATGGCTCCTTTTTATCAGCTTTGGCTGGAATTTGCCCGGAAGGGTGGCAGGGAGGAACCTCCTTGAGAGGGCCTGGACTGTAACTGAGTCAGGGAGGTGGCCAATAACCAGACTGTAGGAAACTGGCTAACTGGGAGAGGTGTCACTATGCCTAGATGACTCTAGTGGAGGCAAGCCCTTTTGTTGGCGATGGCTGTTATCCTTGCCATCCACAGGTCAAGGAGAGGGGCACTTGGCCATGGAAGCCAGGCACCTAACCACTGAAATGGTATCTCTTTTGCACCAGCCACCACTCCAGCTCCCTGTGTCTGAGAAAGGAGTTCTCAGGGTCAAGCTCTCCCTGCTCCGGCCTCTCCCACTTCCCCTCCTACCCTTTTGTCTTGCCCTCACCTCCTCCCACCTGCTGTTTCTAGACTCCAGTCTCTTCCTCCTCCCTGCTCTCCACACTTTCTCCCTCTTGCCTAGTCTTTCCTCTCCCCTCTGCCTCTCCCTTTCCTCTATGTCTCACCCTCTCTGTGTCTATCCTCCCCACCCCACACACACACACACACAAACCCCAACCCCAACAGGAGCCCTTTGTGTCCTGAAGCTCCGCGGGTGGCAGCCAGAATCTACTCCTCCCCACCCCCCAACACACGCCCCGACTTGGCAGGTCCAGCCATAACTCTCTCCCTTCCCATCAGCCTGGTGTCCACAGTCACAGCTTTGCCACCTCCAGGCTCCGCTGTCCCCCCGGACCTGTCACTGGCCCCAAGTGCAGCTCCAGAGCAGGACTGAAACCACCCAACACTGCCTTACCCACCAAAGAGGCTTTCCACTTTCAGCAGACTGACGGGATCGTGGGGGTTCGGGAGTGGAGAATGAGGACAAGGGGATTAGGGTGGGTGGGAAGGGTGCTGCTGAGTTGGTCACAGGCCAAAGGCCCAGCAGGAACGTGATAAGGATTGGGGCTGGGACCTCCTAGGCCCAGCTCAGCTGCACTCAGCTCCACCAACTCTTATTGTTGCTCCTGCGCCCTTGGCCACCCCTTATTCTCTGACCTTCCCGCCTCCCACTTTCAGACCGCGCCTTCCTCTGGACCCTTCCCTCTCCTCCCCAGTGCCCTCACCCCTGGCTCGTTAGAAGAGGACTGATTATTCTGCCACCCCCAGAGTTGTGTCCCTGTACCTTGTCTGTCCCCATCACTCTGGCCGGGACAGCCCCCGCAGTCTACAGTGTGCATTGTTCCCACACTCTGAGCCTGAGTAAAAATTGGCTTCAAGATGGGGTACACAGTGTGGGAGCTAAGCAAAAGGGGGGTCAAAACCCAAAAACCCTCCCTGGATTCCCCACCACAGCCACACATGCTAATGCCACATTTTGTCCATTGCTCCAGATGTATGGCCGATACACTCAGGAACTTGGGGCCTTTGCCAAAGAGGAAGCTGCTCGGATTCGTCTCGGAGGGCCTGAGCCCTGGAAAGGGTCCCCTTCTGCCCGAACTCCCCCAGAGCTTCTGGAATATGGACAGAACCGATGTGCCAGATGCCGCAGTGAGATCTGGATCGGGGCAGGGACCTGGCTGTTCTGTATTGGGGGAGGCAGAGACCATTAGCGCTGCCTATGGGGGGTGGGGAGACAGGGAGGATTAGGAGCACGTTGGCACCAGGTTCTCTGTGACTCTTCTTTTCCCTGATTCCAGTTTGTTCTGTACGGTGCCACAAGTTCCTAGTGTCCCGGGTTGGTGAAGACTGGATCTTCCTGGTCCTATTGGGGCTCCTCATGGCATTGGTCAGTTGGGCCATGGACTATGCCATCGCTGTCTGTCTACAGGGTGAGGGCAAAGACTGGGAAGGGCCACCCTGTTTCCTCCATGCCACAGTTGTTTAAGTAACTTGGCTCCTGGCCACTTTCTCTGGCCAGGCTGACTGCCCATCTCCAGGCATAGTTACTGCCACTTGCAGAGGCCACACCTTCTGGCCTGCCCTCCAACTGTCTTATCTATGATGGGCTTTGTCCCAGCAAATGCCTTCTAGGGCCTTCCCGTCCCTCTGGGCCCCAGCTCTGTGTACTTGTCCTATCAGTGTGTCTCAGTGGCAGGCAAGGTGTGGATCTGTGCACTGGAAGGCCAGCAAGCATGTCCTGTGCCCACAGCTCAGCAGTGGATGTCTCGAGGCTTAAACACCAACATCTTACTCCAGTACCTGGCTTGGGTTACCTACCCTGTCGTCCTCATCACTTTCTCTGCTGGATTCACCCAGATCCTGGCCCCGCAGGCTGTCGGTAGGATAGGAAGGGCTCGGGGGGGGGGGGGGGGCCCCAAGCTTCCTGAAGGGGGTCTCTCAGACAACTTCCACGGCTCTGCAGGGTCTGGCATCCCTGAGATGAAAACCATCCTTCGGGGAGTGGTGCTGAAGGAATACCTCACCCTCAAGACCTTTGTAGCTAAGGTCATCGGGCTCACCTGTGCCCTGGGTAGTGGGATGCCCCTTGGCAAAGAGGTAATTGCAGGTTGGGGAATGAAGGCGCCCTTCCCATCCGACGAAAAGGCCAGGCTGAAGTCCGGAAGGCTCCATCCCTACTCACCACCAACCCCTACCTCCAGGGACCCTTTGTGCACATTGCCAGCATGTGTGCTGCCCTGCTCAGCAAGTTCCTCTCCCTCTTTGGGGGTATCTATGAGGTAAGAAGAGAACCCTAAGATCTGGGGAATGGGGTGGGGAGTGATGCTGCTGAGCCCAAACTGATGCTGCGTCCCCACCCTTGCCAGAATGAGTCCCGGAACACAGAGATGCTGGCTGCTGCGTGCGCAGTAGGAGTGGGCTGCTGCTTTGCAGCCCCTATCGGAGGTAGGCACTGCTCCAATCAGAGTCTAGCCCCACCTTTGGCCTCTCCCCCTCGACCCTTCTCCTGGGAGTAAGCCCACAGACCAGACTCTGGTCTCAAGGGCGATGTCCTCTGCCCCCTTGCAGGGGTCCTATTCAGCATTGAGGTCACCTCCACCTTCTTCGCTGTTAGGAACTACTGGCGGGGCTTCTTTGCGGCCACCTTCAGTGCCTTCATCTTTCGGGTCTTGGCAGTCTGGAACCGTGATGAAGGTGGGGATGTTGGTGGCGTTGAGGGCATCGGAGGCAATTCAAGCGTGACAAATTTACCTGCCACGGCTCTACTTCTCCCTTTCAGAAACCATCACTGCTCTCTTCAAAACTCGGTTCCGACTCGACTTCCCCTTTGACCTCCAAGAGCTGCCGGCCTTTGCTGTCATCGGGTAAGAAACTTCCAGGAGGGTGTGGGGCAGAAGGTTTCCATAAGAAGGCCTCCCCTCCACCCTGGTCCTTCTCTCTTCTCCAGTATTGCTAGT